CTGACCCCCCCCTGCCCCCCCAGGGGTGACGGTGGCGCTGGAGGTGGCGGAGCTGCAGGAGGCCGTGGCCGCTGCCACCTCCCGCTACCGGAGCCTCCTGCGCCAAAAGTGTCACCTCCCCGGGGACACCCCGACTGCGGGGGACACCCCGACCCCCGGGGACACCCGGACCCTTGGGGACACCGGGACCCCCGGGGACACCGCGACCACGGGGGACACCCCAACCCCCGGGGACACCCGGACCCTCGGGGACACCGCGACCATGGGTGACACTGAGACCACGGGGGACACCAAGACCACAGGGGACAACGAGATCCTTGGGGACACCAAGACCAGGGGTGACACCGAGACCACGGGTGACACCCAGACCCTCGGGGTCACTGGGACCACAGGTGACGTGGGGACCCCGGGTGACACCGAGACCCTCGGGGTCACTGAGATGGTTGGGGACACGGGGACTTTTGGGGACACCAAGACCCTTGGGGGACACCAGGGCCACGGGTGACACGGGGACCCTCGGGGACACCAGGGCCACGGGTGACACTGAGACTGGAGGTGACACCGAGGGCCCCGGGGACACAGAGACCTTTGGGGACACTGGGACCAGGGGTGACATGGGGACCTTGGGTGACACGGAGACTGTTGGGGACACCGGGACCCTTGGGGACACCAGGACCTTGGGTGACACCCTGACCTTTGGGGCCACTGAGATGGTTGGGGACAGGGGGACTTTCGGGGACACCGAGCCCCCAGGTGACACTGAGGACCTTGGGGACACCGAGACCCCTGGGGGACACCAGGGCCACGGGTGACACTGAGACTGGAGGTGACACCAAGGACCCCGGGGACACAGAGACCTTTGGGGACACCGGGACCAGGGGTGACACGGGGACCTTGGGTGACACTGGGACTGTTGGGGACACGGGGACCCTCGGGGACACCAAGACCACGGGGGACACCGAGGACCTTGGGGACACCGGGACGGTGGGGAACGTGGGGACCCTGGGGGACACCGAGACCCTTGGGGACACCAAGACCATGGGTGACACCAGGATGTGGGTGACACCGAGCCCCCGGGTGACACGGGGACCCTCGGACCCCCCGGGTGACACGGACACCGCGCCCACAGGTGACACGGACCCCCCGGGTGACAACACGGATCCCTCCCGGTGACAGCGCCGTCCCCGTGTCCCCGTGACGTGGGCGTGTCCCCAATAAAGTCCCCCCCCGCGGATGTCACCGTCCCCGTGTCACCTCCTGTCCCCACACACCCCAGGGACACCGTCACTGTCACCCGGCGGCGGCCATCTTGGAGCCACACCCACCTCGGCGACCATCTTGGGGCCGCTTCAACCTCCCCTGGTGGCCACCTCGGTGTCACTCTGATGTCACCAGGATGTCATCGGGCCACCATCTTGGAGCCACTTGGTCACCTGGTGGCCACCATCTCGGTGACACACCTCCTCAATGTCACCAGGCGGCCATCTTGGTGCCACTCTGATGTCACCAGGCCACCGGGATGTCACCAGGCCACCATCTTGGTGTCACACCCCCTTGACACCCCCTCAGCGGCCATTTTGTGCCACTCTGATGTCACCAGGTGCCATCTTGGTGCCACACCCACCTCGGCGACCATCTTGGGGCCACTTCAACCTCACCTGGTGGCCACCTCAGCGTCACTGATGTCACCGGGCCACCATCTTGGAGCCACTTGGTCACCTGGTGGCCACCATCTCGGTGACACACCTCCTCAATGTCACCAGGCGGCCATCTTGGTGCCGCTCTGATGTCACCAGGCCACCTGGATGTCACCGGGCGGCCATCTTGGCACCACACCCCCCTTTGTGACCATCTTGGGGCCACTTCAACGTCACCTGGTGGCCATCTCGGTGTCACTCTGATGTCACCAGGTCACCGCGGAGCTGCAGGAGGCCGTGGCCGCTGCCACCTCCCGCTACCGGAGCCTCCTGCGCCAAAAGTGTCACCTCCCCGGGGACACCCCGACTGCGGGGGACACCCCGACCCCCGGGGACACCCGGACCCTTGGGGACACCGGGACCCCCGGGGACACCGCGACCACGGGGGACACCCCAACCCCCGGGGACACCCGGACCCTCGGGGACACCGCGACCATGGGTGACACTGAGACCACGGGGGACACCAAGACCACAGGGGACAACGAGATCCTTGGGGACACCAAGACCAGGGGTGACACCGAGACCACGGGTGACACCCAGACCCTCGGGGTCACTGGGACCACAGGTGACGTGGGGACCCCGGGTGACACCGAGACCCTCGGGGTCACTGAGATGGTTGGGGACACGGGGACTTTTGGGGACACCAAGACCCTTGGGGGACACCAGGGCCACGGGTGACACGGGGACCCTCGGGGACACCAGGGCCACGGGTGACACTGAGACTGGAGGTGACACCGAGGGCCCCGGGGACACAGAGACCTTTGGGGACACTGGGACCAGGGGTGACATGGGGACCTTGGGTGACACGGAGACTGTTGGGGACACCGGGACCCTTGGGGACACCAGGACCTTGGGTGACACCCTGACCTTTGGGGCCACTGAGATGGTTGGGGACAGGGGGACTTTCGGGGACACCGAGCCCCCAGGTGACACTGAGGACCTTGGGGACACCGAGACCCCTGGGGGACACCAGGGCCACGGGTGACACTGAGACTGGAGGTGACACCGAGGGCCCCGGGGACACAGAGACCTTTGGGGACACCGGGACCAGGGGTGACACGGGGACCTTGGGTGACACTGGGACTGTTGGGGACACGGGGACCCTCGGGGACACCAAGACCACGGGGGACACCGAGGACCTTGGGGACACCGGGACGGTGGGGAACGTGGGGACCCTGGGGGACACCGAGACCCTTGGGGACACCAAGACCATGGGTGACACCAGGATGTGGGTGACACCGAGCCCCCGGGTGACACGGGGACCCTCGGACCCCCCGGGTGACACGGACACCGCGCCCACAGGTGACACGGACCCCCCGGGTGACAACACGGATCCCTCCCGGTGACAGCGCCGTCCCCGTGTCCCCGTGACGTGGGCGTGTCCCCAATAAAGTCCCCCCCCGCGGATGTCACCGTCCCCGTGTCACCTCCTGTCCCCACACACCCCAGGGACACCGTCACTGTCACCCGGCGGCGGCCATCTTGGAGCCACACCCACCTCGGCGACCATCTTGGGGCCGCTTCAACCTCCCCTGGTGGCCACCTCGGTGTCACTCTGATGTCACCAGGATGTCATCGGGCCACCATCTTGGAGCCACTTGGTCACCTGGTGGCCACCATCTCGGTGACACACCTCCTCAATGTCACCAGGCGGCCATCTTGGTGCCACTCTGATGTCACCAGGCCACCGGGATGTCACCAGGCCACCATCTTGGTGTCACACCCCCTTGACACCCCCTCAGCGGCCATTTTGTGCCACTCTGATGTCACCAGGTGCCATCTTGGTGCCACACCCACCTCGGCGACCATCTTGGGGCCACTTCAACCTCACCTGGTGGCCACCTCAGCGTCACTGATGTCACCGGGCCACCATCTTGGAGCCACTTGGTCACCTGGTGGCCACCATCTCGGTGACACACCTCCTCAATGTCACCAGGCGGCCATCTTGGTGCCGCTCTGATGTCACCAGGCCACCTGGATGTCACCGGGCGGCCATCTTGGCACCACACCCCCCTTTGTGACCATCTTGGGGCCACTTCAACGTCACCTGGTGGCCATCTCGGTGTCACTCTGATGTCACCAGGTCACCGTGATGTCACCAGACGCCATCTTGGTGTCACATCCCCTCAAAGCCTCCCCCCAGCAGCCATCTTGGGGCCACTCTGATGTCACCAGGCGCCATCTCGGTGCCACACCCCCTTGGCGGCCATCTTGGAACCGCTTCAACCTCCCCCGGTGGCCACCTCGGTCTGATGTCACCACGTCACCGTGATGTCACTGGGCGGCCATCTTGGCACCACCCCCCCTCTCCCCC